GCGCCCGGCCGCCCCGCCCTCCGGCCGCCGCGCCCGCCCTCGGCCCACTATTTCTAGGGCATTGGCCGCCCGCTGGGTGATCCCTCCGGGCTCAAGTTGCAAGGGGGCGGGCCCCGGGCCGGAGGTGGAGTCTCCCTCCAATTGAAGCGTCGGCTATAAATCGAGCTCCCCGCACAGCCGAAGCCCAGATGCCTCGCCAGGCTGCCCCGAGCTTAGTGGTGGGGGAGGGAGGCGGGCCCCAGGGGGCCTCGGGGGCGGCGGCCACCATGCTGCGCTCCCTGCTGCTCCACTCCCTGAGGCTGTGCGCCCAGACCGCCTCGTGCCTCGTGCTCTTCCCGCGCTTCCTCGGCACGGCCTTCATGCTCTGGCTCCTCGACTTCCTGTGCATCCGCAAGCACTTCCTGGGCCGCGGCCGCCGGGGTCAGCCCGAGCCCGAAATGGAGCTCAACAGCGACGGCGAGGAGGTGCCCCCCGACGACCCGCCCATCTGCGTGTCCGACGACAACCGCCTGTGCACCCTGGCGTCGCTGAAGGCGGTGTGGCATGGCCAGAAGCTGGATTTCTTCAAGCAGGCGCACGAGGGCGGTCCGGCGCCCAACTCGGAGGTGGTCCTGCCCGAGGGCTTCCAGAACCAGCGCATCCTCGACTTCGCGCGAGGGAACCGCCCGCTGGTGCTCAATTTCGGCAGCTGCACCTGACCGCCGTTCATGGCGCGCATGAGCGCCTTCCAGCGCCTGGTCACCGAGTACCAGCGCGACGTGGACTTCCTCATCATCTACATAGAGGAGGCGCACCCCTCTGACGGCTGGGTGACCACGGACTCCCCCTACAGCATCCCGCAGCACCAGAGCCTGGAGGACAGGGTCAGCGCGGCGAGGGTGCTGCAGCAGGGTGCCCCCAGCTGTGCGCTGGTGCTGGACACCATGGCCAACTCCAGCAGCTCAGCCTATGGCGCCTACTTCGAGCGCCTCTACGTGGTCCAGAGCGGCACCATTATGTACCAGGGGGGCCGCGGCCCAGATGGCTACCAGGTCTCTGAGCTGCGCACCTGGTTGGAGCACTACAAGGAGCGGCTGTGCAGCCCCCAGCCCGGTGGGGTGTAGAACAAGCAAGGGTGACTGCCTGGACTGGGGGCGGGGCCTTGGACGTTGGAAGGCCAGTGTGCAGGCCCCCAGTCAGGCTGGGGTGTGACACGGCTGCTGCGCAGAGGCCCGCTGCAGGCTGCCTGTCCACGGCTGAGCCGCCGAGACCTCTGCTCCCCCGCTCGGCTGCGGTGATGGGCCTGTGACTGTCCTCTGTGACTGCCGGCCGCCTATGCCTGCCTGGCTCACTGGCCATCTCCTGAGAGGGGGTGCGGCGCCATCCTCGCCTGGGCCGACCGTCCTCACCGAGGCCCAGGCTGCGGCGCGCACACCCTCGCCAGACAGCGAGCCTTCCGCAGGCAGCACAGCGCGGGGTGGCGTTGCAGCCGCTGGCTGCAGCGCCCTGGGCGCAGCTGGCGTCCAGCAGTGCTTGCAGCTCGCCCTAGTTGCCTGGCACCCACACCTGTCGCAGGCAGAGAGGATGCCCTGGCCTGCGTCTGCTTCTCGTCCCCGGCTGGGGGAGGAGACGGGTGGGGAAGGGTGCGCAGGGCTGTTTTTCCCTTTAGTTTGGGTGCTCACCAGCCTCACTGCTGATGACGAGCCCTCTCTAACTGGTCCTGACCACGAGCTGGTTCTGAATTGCAGGGGCTCGCAGCAGCGCCAAACGCAAAGGGGACCTTGCTCTGGGTTTCCATGGAGAGCCCACCTGGTGGGGGTGGGAAGGGCGGCAGAGGGACTGTTTGGGGACCAGGGGACGCTGAGAAAGGTGCTGGCCGGCCAGGTGAGCAGCACCCCAGGGAGAGGAAATGGCAGAGCCCCCCAGCTGGGGAGCAGAGTCTGAGGGGAGGGGATGGGGAGAGCCCGGCCCCCAGGAGAAGGGCTGCCTAACAGAACTGAGGGGAGCGGGGCTGCGGTGAGTGCCTGACCCCGAGGCCACTGGGCCAGTGTTTTGGAAATGTCCCTGTGTGTGAACTTCTGACACCAGATAATAAAGCTTGGAAAACTGCTTTCAGTGGCTTCGTCCCTTGGTTGTCTTTCTCCCTCTGAACAGTGGCAGAACTGAACACACCTCTCCCTCCCCGCCCATAGTGACCCTGGAGGGAAAGAAGCCAGCTCTGGCTGGGGCGCTGGAGGAGGAGGACAGGGGTCCTTGGGGAGACCAAGGCCCGGCTCCCTGCCCGCTGCCCCTGGGGGGAGAGGGGGACAGGAGCAAAGAAGCCCACGGGGCCTCCTGAGGGCAGCTGGGAGCGAGCGTCCTCCCGCAGAGCCGTGCCGCCTGCACCTCTACCGCAGCGCAAACGCGTCTAACTTCACCCGACCACGCCCGCGCTGGGAGAGGGCTTGGGGCCGGGCGACGGGGCCGCGCGTAGGTAGGGCTGGGCGTCGCACACCTGGGCACGCTGGCTCCTCCCTGGTCCCTTGTGGTGGAGGTCCCCCCACGTCCCCTCTCTGCACCTTTAAAACAGTCTCCCCACTCTCAATCCCCAGCCGGTTGCTGGGGTCCTGGGCGGAGAGACCAGCGCACCACCAGAAGGGGGGTGCGGAGGGTGGAGGGAGCTGGGCTCGCACGCTGCCACTCTACCAGCTTCTACTGCAGGGGGTGCGGCGGAGTGCGCCCCCCGCCCGGGACACCCACTCCTCCTCACCCCCAAGTTCTAGTCAAACCTCACCGCCCCCAAAGCGTCGGGGCTGGGAAGCGGGGACGCGGAGCGAGGTGGGGTGCGAGAGCACCGGGAAGAGGG